AACCTAAAACTCCATTAGAATTTCTTACTTTTATAATCAATCTCGAATGGAGAAGATGTTTTTCCAAATCTGAGAGCGGCACTTCAAATACTCCTGACTATCTCAGTATCAATTGCCAGCTGCGAACGTTCATTCAGTAAATTAAAATTAATTTTGACAGATCGCCTAAGTAACCTAGCATTTTTAAGTGTGGAAAGAAAAAAATTTTAAATGATCAATTTTGATGATATTATTGATACATTTGCTTCATCAAAAGCACTGAAAATTTAGTCATAGTAAATAGTTTTATTAATGTATTATAATCATATGATTATTAAATATATGTATCTCCTTAGAGATAATAAATATTTACTTTTTTATTTTTTTAAAACTGCATGTTTTTAAAATATTTCTTTATAAATATGTAAAATAAATAGGTATCTTTTGAACTAATGCTAGATGATCATATACATTTCAAAATCTAGTCTTGTTCTCTCAACTACATTTTTTGTCTCAAATTTAAAGCCTAGCTTAAGTCTATGACTTTATTTATTTTGCTTTATTTATTTATTAATTTGCGAGTATATTTTACATATAATATTATATGGTTTTCGAATGGGGGGGGGGCGCTAAAAGGGTATTGTGCCCCGGGCGCGAGTTAAGCTCGCTACGCCACTGCTTGCAATACTAGTATATAAGACACGTGTCTTATATACTAGTGATTTGGTATTTAATATTTGTAGTGGTAGTTAACCACAAGTCAACAATTATTAAAGGTAATTCCTTCTTAAATTTGCCGTATTTGATCTGCTGGGAACCGTGTCCACTGCTGGGCGAATTTTAAAATAGCCTTAGTGATCGAATTTGCCACTACGCCGTAAAATACGGTAGCGATTTTAATGTACACTAAAAGATTTAATAATTACAAACAAAAAATTAAACATATAAGAAAATCAAAACTTTATTATTTACACTTTGTAATGAAAAAGAGTTTTGACCTTATCAACTGAAGCCACAAATTGCTTTTATTGATTATTGGGATGAGTTCAAAGCATGAGAACAACGACAGTGCCCAAGATGGCTCCGGCAATACCAAGTCCACAAAGTATTTTTCCAGGTATTCCTGCTGCACCTAAACTTTGGAACACAGCGAATAGGCTCCCTGCTACGACATTTCCTATCATCCTGTGAATCTTAGCAGCACAAGAAAATGCAGATACACCAGCTTCTCTGAAGCCTAGGAGGCATAGAATGGTGCCTGGCAAACAAGATAGCAGAACAGCCCCACCAACAGCACCTATATTCCAATAAACAAAATAGGAATGATTAAGTAAAGAAATATCACTAAAGCGTTATCTTAAATTGATCTCCAAATTGAAAAGACGGAAGAAGATTCTATCTTACACAGTTTGTTCTCTCGCCAAGAGACGAAATGATCTACAGTCAAACCCCGCTATAGTGAGCTCCCGGATATAGTGAGCGAAATGTTCGCTCCCGTGCCTTGCTACACACGTAAGGTTTTTTTTTTTGTGGATATAGTGACCCAAAAAAAGAGTGGAAGTAGGATAGTATGAACTTTTTTCTGTCCTCGACTAATTTATTTTCTTTTTTTATGTAATAATTTTGAAATTTCTACTTCAAAATAAATACATGCACAGATTTTTAAGACCATCGATAGCATGGAATGTATCAATAAGCATTTTTTCTTGTTTTCTTCAATTTTGAATAGCATTATTGAATTGATCCAGCAATTAAAAAAGTCTCAATCTTCCTGTATCTGGACAAATGCTTTAAGTCAAAACAAATGAACGACTTTATGAGACGTACTTTTATGTGCTCGAATGGCAGGTTAGACAAGTTTGAAAATATAGAATAATATAGATTCAGGAAAAATTATCGGAGAGTCGGGAAATGTTTTCATATCTGACGTGGAGGATTGCTCATCCGCTAAAGATTACTAATTTTTTGTGTGCAGAGAGTAAAAAAAGAAAAGTTAACACATTTTTGTTGCTACGTCATTTTTTTTATTTCATTTTATGTGTCAATTATTTAAATAATCTGTAATAAAAAAGTTGAGTTTGGAACCATTAGTTAAAATTGTTTGAGGCATGGATATAGTGAAGTCCCGGTTATAGTGAACGGAAATTTCAATCCGTTGAAGGTTCACTATTGCGGGGTTTGACTGTATTAAATTTGTCAATAGATAGCGCTGCTAACTTAAAAATTTATGAAGCAATGTCACAAATATGTAAAACTATGCAGCTACAAAATTTCTCAGCCAGGGGACAAAATTAGTCAAATTCGACCATCCAGTGTGCGTGGTGGGTTTAGTGTCTACTTATCACAAACTTGGATTCGATTCCCCATGATATATATATATATATATATNGGATATATATATAATGGAAATGGCTGGTTATCTGATCCCAAAGCATTTTCTTTTTTTAGTAGTTAGGAATGAACTCTGATGTGATATCTCCTTTAGTTTCAGAACTAGAAAATTCCACGACAGGTCTGGGAGCATGGTGAGAAGACTGGGTGCTTATGAACACGGACGTAGCTATAGCTTTTACAAGGGGGGGGGGGTCGAGAATTCCCATTATATATATATATATATAATATAATATAAGCTACTAATATTTCAGTAATCATACAGGTGTGTAAAATATTTGTTTATTGCAAGGAACACAATGATCAAAGAGCATAGAAAAATGTTAATTGCTTAAAGTAATAAATTTAATCTTTTGCGCCTTGTTGATAACTTATTTACAATTTCGTCGGAACTTTCTCGATGAAACTTTCGTTTCTTTCGCTCAATGAAACATGCAAAGCGAGGGATAGGGATTCTTCAGCTTTTAAAAGGTGCAAACGAAATTTTTTCCCCACATATTTCTTAAAAAATATTTTTTCAAGGCAAGACGTATATTATAAGAAGTTCTGTGCGATATTTGGAAATGTGGATATTAAAAAAAACTCAAGCTAAGGGGGGGGGGATCCGGACCCCATGGACACAGCCCTTATATACGCCCGTGCTTATGACCACCATTTGCCATGGTGCGCATTCATGTCTTCGGGTCATCATTAAGAATGAATTCGGCGCTAATAGCCCATTGGTGTAGTTCTAGAGCATCGTTAACAACCAAACGAATCTAATCAGCTACACTATCAGTTGATGAACTATTTGTCTAATTTTAAACTATGTGGGAAATAAATGCTTTTTTTTTTTGTCTATCATCCCACCCACCCCTAAAAGATCAAAATGGCGAAAACAGTCGATATTTTTCGGTTTTTCTTTAACTGATTGCTTATATCCTTTTTGCGACATCAATTAGTTTTTAATCGAAGTTCATTACCCAGAAAGCATGCAACCTTTCACGGCAACCTTTCTTTTGTCACGAAAATGTTTGCACTAAAACCCTTTTTTTCAATAAAGCAAAAATATTGCAGTTTCAAAATTTTCATCCTAAAAGGATTAAAAATTATTTTTTAAAGTTTTTTTTTAAAAAAAGTATTGTCACTTATGTCCAAAATGACGTTTTAGCTGACGTCACACTAGCGATAGGATCAAATTGCATTGCCCATTAACCACATGACTACGAATTTTAAAAAATGATTTTTTTGCTCCGTTTATTATTCAAAAGCACAAAATAGGTCACAAATAAGGCAAATTTAGTATTTGAGATTTTTCTGACAAGCTGTTATCAATTTAGAGGCTGGGACATATATGTCTCGGCCGTACTTAATGTGGGATACATATGTCCCACCGTCCGTGTAGTGATCGACTTACTACAAGCACGTCTATCATTCCGGAAAAATTTATTATATAGACTTTTTTTTTACATGGTATGATGCAGGGTGAGGCAATCTTTGCATAATCCGATATTACACATTGGACAACTCCTATTTGTTATTTTTTCTATGTTCATTCGGGAAAATATGTGTAAAATATGAATGGACATAACAATCCCAATGAAGAATACGAGTGGGATATATCTGTCCCAATGAAGAGTACTAGTCTGTCCCAGCGCAAAATCACAATGCTATTTCATGCAATAAACTCTTTAGCGCCATCTAGGGGATATTCGACACACGAAACACGTATACTTGGTTCGACTCTACGACTGGGACATATTACAATGCGTTTCTAAGTGCTTTTCTAAGTTGTAATTTTTAAACATTTGTTGGGACAAATGAGTCCCGTTAGTAGCCAAAGGGTTAAAATTTCATAACAATGTGGATTTTAGCTGAGCATACAAGACTTTGTGAAAAGAAACCTTATTATTACCTAGATTTAAGATCATTTTTCACCTTGAGACTAGCTTTATGAAAGGATTTTTTCACGCTTCAAAATCCTAAGTTAACCTCAATTTAAGGTTTTTATATAAAAGGTTGATTTCTAAGGTTTCGGATGAGGGTAATGTGCGTAACACAGATTGTCACAGATCTCGTTTTAAGGTTGGAAGGTTTACACGTAAACCGCATATCAAACCTTTTTAGGTTTACATGAAAAAGGTTTTTGCTGAGTTAAAATAAACCTCATTTTGCTATCTGGGTTAGATATTTCTATACATAAGCGTTTTTCAACCTAATTAAAATATTTCGCTACAGGATATGTTTCAAAAGTACTTTAAAACAGCTATGCAGCCTACCCATGAATCCTCGACTATCTGCATTACCATTATCCAATTAAAAGTGCTACATTTTACATCTACTTCGTACAGTTCTATTTTTTAAAAAAATAAGTAGTCCAGATGTTGAGAATTTACGTCATTAAAACAATTAAAAATTTTAAAGAAAAGATGAACTTACCTAACAAAATTGTCAAAAAAGCCACTTTTGAATCTCATGCAAATTGGAAGTATTTTCAAATCCAAGTCTGAAACATTTGTTACATTATTTTCTGAAAAAAATAAAGTTTTTTTTATTAGTTTTATAGCTATAGCAGCGTTCTTCGTAAGGGGTAAAGAAAGTAAATAATCCATAAAGTAATATCTATCTAAACTACTAAATTAAGCACAGAACTGAAAAACATGAATAAAGCTGAAATAATTCTACTCTTTTAAAAAAAATTATGATTATTTGTTGCCTTTCCCAAAGACTCTACAGTCCCGGGACAATGTTAGATGCACTATAATAAGATTCTATGTAAAATATTAATTATCAGGTCATACTCTATACAGCTTTATTGTTTTTACTCGGATATTGACGCTCCTGTATCAATGGGCTAACATTGTAATGCACTACGTTAAAAATAAATACAAATAGGAAGTCTATTAAAAATCTTTTTAATAAAAACACATGACATGTTTTAATATAAAAGTATTGCCTATAAACTCAAGCGAAACATGTCATTATTGCTATGTAATGATAGTGCTATATATGTAAAACATACTACGTATCTAATATTGCTATATATGTAAAACAGGCTACGTATCTAATATTGCTATGTATGTAAAACATTTAATAATTACTACAGTACGTCTAATAATTTGATCTAATTATAACGCTGTACTAATATTGTACCCGATATAATAAATATTTTATAGTTATATAATATATCGTCTAATTTATCCTTTCGTCGAATTAATATTACACATCGTCTAATTTAACCCATTAATACACAAACGTAAACAAGTGCACAGTCACATAAAAACACTAAAGTTGTATAGTATCTTTCGCTTTTCAACTTAAAGCAATTCTAATAGGGTAAATACACCGAAGATTTATTACTATTATTAGTGAATATAACCTTTTTCTCGTTTTCTTGATGGCACAGGAAAACTACTCAATAATTACCAAGGGGTAAGTAACAAAAATATATTTAAATAGTTAACGTGAACAATACGGTACAATGGTAGACGTTACTACTTCTACATTACAATGTGGCGGTTCTCAGGCGGTTCTTGCTTTTTTACAAAATCTTAGTTTGCAGTTACGGTTACAATCTAATGATAAACTCCGCCATCTATCGGTGGTTCAATAACATGTATTTCTACAAACTCCCCATCATGGACGGGGACGTCCATAATATCTAGTAAGATTAAAGGAAAAATGACAGACAGAAAAAAACAACATTAAAGTTCAACATGAATCAAATTTTTAAGCATTATTTAAAATTTCAAAAGGATATAACAGTTGAACGGGACGTCTGATCCGACTTCCATTAGTCCATACGAGACAGCTCCGGACTTTGCCATCCCGTCCAGGGTAGACTTCTTCGATTACTCCAAGGCTCCAAAGAAATTTATTCTTTTGGGCTCCTTCGATCAAGACAACGTCCTGGACTTGAAAGTTCCGTTGATTTTCTGAAGTTGTCAACTGATGCGCAGTTTTTAGGAGAAGAACATACTGTTCTTTCCATTTGGTCCAAAAATTTTGTAAAAGTCTCATCTGGAACAGTTTCCTTTTGATNGATACGGATTTTTATCAATTGAATTTTCGAACTGGCCGATAAATTCCAACCATGAATTTGGATCTCCGAAATATTTGTTTACAGTTAATTTTGGTAGTTTTATCGTGCATTTGTTTACTTCTGTTTGATTTACAGTCTGAGAGCTAGTTACACCATTTAAATTAGAACTAGTTGAGGGAGTGGCACTAATTTGTTGAATCTTCTGTTTAATTTTACATTTATAGTTAATCAAATCTTCTACATGTGTTTCAGAGGATTCAACTTCCTTTTCGATATCTTTAACATCTAGTTCCTTTATTATCTCTTCATTTATTAATTTTATGTTCAACATTTTCTCACTTAATTGCTCTAAAGATGTTTCTAATTCATACATTGTCAAATTATCAAAGTTTTTATCTAAGTTAGTGAGAAATTTAGTAGTAGAACTTTTCAAAGCTCTTCGTTTCATTTTAAGTTTTTCTATATCCATGATATACAAAATATAATATCTCTCAATCAAAATAAACTTACCCCTTTTTTCTGGCTTTCTTTTATCCACTAAAATTCGATTCTATTCTTATCTTCAGTGCATTGCCTTTCTCGGCATCGATGCACCAGTTTCGCTTTTCAACTTAAAGCAATTCTAATAGGGTATATACACCGAAGATTTATTACTATTATTAGTGAATATAACCTTTTTCTCGTTTTCTTGATGGCACAGGAAAACTACTCAATAATTACCAAGGGGTAAGTAACAAAAATATATTTAAATAGTTAACGTGAACAATACGGTACAATGGTAGACGTTACTACTTCTACATTACAATGTGGCGGTTCTCAGGCGGTTCTTGCTTTTTTACAAAATCTTAGTTTGCAGTTACGGTTACAATCTAATGATAAACTCCGCCATCTATCGGTGGTTCAATAACATGTATTTCTACAGTATCACTTGATAATTAAGATTTTACACAGAATCTAATAGCGCTTTATTTATTTATACACTTTTATAAATATATATATGTATTTTAATAACCGTGTCATGCGATTTTTTTTCTTTTGTCCAATGAAAATACATGGATTGATATAATGACAACCTATAATTTAAAAGCAACTGGCATTAGATACAACTTGAAAAAATTAATAACAGTGGAAGATTCTTCTTGAAATAAACTCAATCTAAAACATTTACTAAGTTTTTCTCTAATTTCATTGAAAATAAGTTGATTTGAGAGAAATATGAATAAATACCTTTGTGATGGCATGACGTAGAAGTAGAGGATGTTAAGTTACAAAAAGGGAGAGACTAACTATACAAATGTCGTCAAATTTATCGGCATACCTTCGTACTGTTTAAACAGGAAACACAGAATTATAAGCTGATTTAACAAATCGATAAGTGGACAATAAGTTTCCCTTCGAATGAATATTGAAGCAATTGATAAAAAAAAATAATGCATAATTTCGTTCGAAAGATAAAAAGTTTACTCCATTTGTCTAGACAAGTTGGGTTTAAAGAATCGGTTTAATTTGAATTAGTTAAATTGCGAATCAAATTAAAGAACTTTATCTAACGAAACACAATACAGTGATGATTTTGTTATACTACTCGATGTGATGACGCGGTTGCGCAGGAGATGACCAGGATTGAATCCCTGCGATGGCTGGTGGATACGATTTCTGATTTTAAGTACTTTTTTCGAGATTTCTTTTTCCAGTTATTTGCTTTAAATTATGACTATTCTTCACTTGTTGTTAGAAAATTTATCTGTCTCGAGACCTTTACTTTATGAGCTCGCGCTTGATTTGTAGTTAAAAGTAACAAAAAATGGATAAAATTAAAAAAAGAAAAAAAGAAAAAGAAACAAGAGAAAGCGATCAGGTGTTGCCAGTTATAAATCATAAAATTTCTACCTAATTTTTCTTTTAAAATATAAATGAGCGATAAACAGTTTGAACTGTTATGCAATATAAGGGTTATAGATTGTTAACAATTAAAATTGCTTATTATTGTGTCTCGCATTCTCAGTAAATAACTAAAGATATTCAAATCAAGATTCATTTCCGTTAACATATTAAAAAAATTTTCTTACATAAAATTATAATAACTAAATAGTTCAAAAACAAAACAGCCCTTTATTCATCTTGTTTTTAAAAAGTATAAAATTTTAAGAGTAGAAAAAAAAAACAAAGATGAATGAGAGACAACCACGGTAGTTGGCGATCGAAGCGAGCAGGGGTTGAAATCTCATAACATTATTAAAAAATAATGGAACTTAACTTAAGCTAAACTTCACTTTCAGCTTCATGCACAAAGTGATGAATGGAAAAATTGTATTTAAAATACATCCGTCCGTTTGGTAAGAAAAAATAAATTGCTGGTACAGTGTTTCACTATTATTCACAATTCACTAGTACAGTGTTTCCTAAACTTATGACTTTTGTGTACCCTTTCTAAATTTTTCGCAACGCTGTGTACAATAAATGAATGTATTTTTTAAAAAATATGTTTTTCTTTTTTGGTACAAAGTTTTGTTAATAAGTTTATTTCAGAGTTTCTGTTATTTGCACCAGCGAGAAGGATGATATTGTTTTTGCTGTGATAAAAAAAAAATTGCACAAAAGTTAAAAATCGACGGTGCATGGTTTTTCGCGAAAGATTTTAATTTTAGTCAGCGTTATTTCCTTGGTGCGAAAATGTCACTTCTGTTGGCGTCATGAAAAAAAAAGGGATGAACGAATAAAATTTAGCGTCCATAAAAATGATCCCCACTCGTATAATTATGAGTAAAATGTATCAATTATGGAAGATAGAATTATTTGAAATAAATGAACAATTAAGTTTTTTGTTGAAGTTTGCATTTAATTTCATATCGTGAAAATGAGTTGGCTTTATGAAATGTGAAGAGGTTTTGCTTGTTTTTTTCTAAAATCTAGTGCACTCGGCCGTGTTTAGTGCAGCTCTGACTGCAACATGAGGTTGTAGATCTCTTTCAAAGATTGTCACAAAGAACTTCACACAAATATTTTGAATGCATTTTAATCTACTCATTTATTTTGTTCATATTCTTGGTTTTGATATTTTTCCTTGTTTCCTTATTTCACCTTTTTCGCATTTGGTGCAGAGGTTTGCCCTGTCGCTAAGAGAGGTTTTGATGGTCTCTCCCAAAGGTTTTCTACAACGTGAGAATATTCCGTGCATCCCAAAAGTGGTAGTAAATAGAGGAGGTCATTCCTGGAGGTTTCACTGCTTGTAATAATGCATGTAATGATGTGAAAGTAATGACAGAGCCTGACTAAGGCAGGGGCATATGGGGCGGTTGCCCCGGGCCCCCACATCAGAGGGGGCTCCCAAATCGCATAGGAAGTTTATTTTACGTTTCCTTCTTTATTGAACTTTTTCTAAAACAAAATATCAGTACAGTGTAAAATCCGTCAGTTTTATGTTAACTTCTTGATTTATCATCATATGAACACGAAAAATCTATCTTTGGTAAATCCATGGCTTTCTAGGTCGGAATTCAGCTAAGTTTTCGCAACGACGATGGAAAAATTGGACCCATCAAAAGCCTGTATTTTTACATATCGCAAAATGTGATATGTTTACAAAAATATAGGCTTCTGATTGGTTTCATTGAGCTATCGCAAATGTGGAAATTAAACTGAATTCCCCCCTAATATCAAGCAAGGATATGAATTTTTCGCAGCTAGATGACAAAGTTAACAATCCGAAAACTGCATTCGGCAAGATGGATATAGAATTGTCAGAAAACCAATAAAATGGACAGAACGTTATTTCGTTTGAACATTGAAGAGGGGGGGGGGGCTTAATAATTATTTTAAGTTCGAGTCAATTTTTTTGTTATACATCCAATGAGACGAAAAATTTTAATACCTCCATAAAGTTCGGTTCTTCATTACTGAAGTAATGAAGTAGAAGGACCCAAAGAAGTTTTTGCACTGGGCCCCGATTAGGCTAAGTCGGGTCCTGAGTAATGATGCATGTAATGACGTGAGAGTATATTTATCTTCTTCCATGTGTAAAAGCCACGTGATTAAGACGTTGTTGATGACGATATTCGTCGGTTCCACTCGCGTATTTTCGGAAAAGCTAAAGTTGGACTTCGATTGACCCGAACGTCGAATTCAAAGTCCGAAAACCAAATCAGCATTTATCCATCTCAATTATCAGATTGATGGGTTCTCACTCACTTTGTTATTTATTCTTTCATCTTTCAATCTTATTTGTCAGCTTTTTAATCAATTTATTTTTAAGATTACAACGTGAACTGATAGAAGAAAACGTTTATCATTTTTTTTTTTCTTTATTCTTTTTTCTGAAAATAGGAACTCTTGCTCTGAGAAAAATCGTTTTTTGTTTGCGTTTAGTTATAGTTAGCGTTTTCTGTGACTAATTTTAGGTCTTTCCCAAAAACAATTCTTGGTTGAACTTTTATCAAGATGAAATTATTTCAATTGCAGTTGTGACTATTGATGTCATAGAAGGCTCAAGGTGCAAAGATTCAAAATCTATCTTCCATGTCTTAATTCTGTCATAATTTTTAGCCTTGAACTTCAAAAGGAAAAAAAATCTTAGAATTTTTTTTTATTTCAATTTTATCTTTGTTCCCAAACTATTAGCTAGGAAAAGAGAAAAAATGAGGAAAAGCACTGAAATTGTAATTTGAAGTTTCATTACAAAATTTCTTTTAAAATTTAAGAATAGTTTTTTTTTTAAATAATTTTTTTATTGAATTAAAATTTAAATAAATAACATATTATAATTTAAATTTAAAAATTTCCCACAGTTCACTTCAATTACGGTGAATTAATGACCACAAAAATTTTAAAACTACAAATTTCAAATAACTTATTTTTTTTATTTCTCTTATAATCATTGTAAAAGAAAAGTCAAGAATAAAACATAAGATATTTTATTATTAAAGCAAATTTCCCTTTAAAGAAAAAGACCCTTACAGGGAAGTAAAGTAATGATAATTGCGACGCTGTAAGTAAATGCTGATTGCGCTAGTAAAATAATGAATCAAAGTTATTATAAACCAAAAATAGTTTATAGGCATTCATTTAAATTAATTTCTCAAAAAAAAAAACATCTTTATTTAAGGCATTTTATTTCAAAACAAGCTGGAGTCATTTTCCTTCCATTAACGAAATTGCTTTGTTTATGTTTTTTTGTTCCCGTTTTTCCAAATATAGATGGCTCAGGCAGGGATAGCCTGGTTGGTAGGGCACTGGACCCAAATCAATACCACTGGGGGTACTGATCCAGGAGTTCCCTGGTCTTCTGGATTGGGTTCAAAATGACTTGGCTACAGAGTTGAACATTAGCAGTTGTAATTGGGTCGGCTGTTCAACGACGGATATAAAATAAAATATTGATGACTCATATTTTGAGGATTTGAAGTGCAAATCAGCCGCAGCCTCCATTCAAGGGTTGACAAAGGTGGGAGGAACCCAGTGGATTTTTTCAGATTGAGCCCACTTGAAAAAAAAATAACCATCTTCATACCCACTAAGTGTTTTTTTTTTTTTTTTTTTTTTTTTTTTTTTTTTTTTTTTTTTTTTTTTGCATTTTACTATTTACGATCAATTTTCTTTGAAATTATCAGAACAAATAGTTCTTCGGAACCATCAATTCATTGTTTTATAAAACTTAGTAACTTCTTATACAAAATTATAAGAAGAAAGGGCATATTTCTGGATTCTGCATTTCGCACACAAAATTATGATGAACAAATGAGTTAAAATACACGCAAGAATAGAGAACATGATTAAAAAAACATTGCTAAATTATAATATATTACTTGTCTAAGAAAACATGACATAACATGATGCTATTATTGCATAATTTATTTGATTTGTAAGCCCCTTAGGGTTTATTAAAATACAACAACGACCATGAATTACATTTATCCAATATTTCAAAATGAATATGACTTTATAGACATATTTAGAAAAAAAATAGGGCGTGGAGTCCCTCCGCGCGGAAGAAGTTAAACTTCGCAACCTGCGACGTTAATTGTAGAAGAATCAGCAGTCGTAGAAAGATCACTAGTTCTATTCAACAACTCTTTTTCCTGCTCCTTCGCTTCCGTGCTCTGTAATCTTGGTAATATTGTGCATTTTTGCCCTCGTGGACCTCTTGAACCAGCCTCATCGTCTCGCCCTGGAAAATGTATTTGCATTAATAATGTATGTGAATGCGTCATAATGTAATTTCAGTAGACAATCAATTGATATTCACAAGAGACGTACCTTGACATAACTTTAAATCCGTCGCATTGTCCGTGGGATTGTTTTCACTCATTTTTTACAATTGTTATCCACTAAATTTGAAAATAAAAAATACTACCCTATTAAATTATATGTGTATCAAAACAAACTAAATAAATATTTATAGAAAAACAATACTTTTATGACTTTTATTATTTTTATGCTAGTGAGAACCAAGACAATATGGAAATGAATGAGGGAAAACTGGATCCTACCCCGTGATTTCTCGGCCAATAAAAATGTAGCGTTAAACGTTTAACGCAACCTTGTTGGAAGTCGCATAAGAAGTATAACTTCAATAAATATTTCAGTCAACAAAAAAAAAAAATC